TGTTTTTTTTCTGTCAATTCTGTGTTCATAAATGTTGGAAATATCGGAGTTGGAGAACAACGTTTTTTTCTCTACATTTTTACACTTACTGTTGACATGACTGGTGGGTGGGTCGGTAACCTGAGGACACCAATTTAAAATAGTTGTTAAAAGAAACAGAGGGGAGGTGAGGAGAAATGTTTTCACACAGCGAGTTGTTTGGTTCTGGAATGCATTGCCTGAAAGGGTGGTGGAAGCCAATTCGATAATAATAATAATAATAATAATAATCCTTGCATTTGATATAGCGCTTTTCACGTCGGGAGGACGTCCCAAAGCGCTTCACAGAATAGACTGTAAAGTGAATTGACTGTATATTTGTGGGCGATAACAACTTTTAGGAGAGAAGTAGATAATTGTTTGGGGAGGACACGTTTGCAGGGCAATGGGGAGAGCGCGGCGGAGTGGGATTGATTTGGGTAGCTCTTTTCAAAGAGACGGCATAGACACGATGGACCTAATGGCCTCCTTCTGAGCTGCATAATTCTATGAATCTATAAAGTAATCTCACATGAGATAGAAAATGGTGTAGACACAGGATCACATTCCACCTACCTTTACATCCCAACAATGTACTTCAGCCTCAACTTAAGTAGAGCATCATATGCTGGACAGATGTGTTTCATTCTGTACAGGAGCTAACTTTGTGAACTCTCCGAATGAGTCAATTTAATACTAAATAATGCAATTTTGTGCTGTTCGCTCACAAATACTGGCAACCAGATTGAGACTGCCCAAACTAATTTCAGGAAGGTAAAGTTGATATTCCGAAGGGATGAGATCACATGGACCGGATTTGTTTTCTTCATCCAAAATGATCTTATGATTTAGTAGTTACTTTGCAGTGGAAACATTCACTCTGTCAGTTTGAGGTGAAAGGAGTGAAAGGATTGTCATTGATAAAGGATAGTATTGCAAAACACAGTACTGCAGATTAAAAACAAATTTAACGAATGCTCCTCTTAACTGTTGGTTCTTACCTTACCTATCTCCTGTGACCATCAAACTTAGATCTAAAATGCAACAGGAAGCAAATGCACTGGAAGAACTTCCTTTTTAATGCAAAAGTCTAAACAGCGGTCTCAGAATGTATGTGTAATTTGGCCACAAGTAATGCTACAATTTCGAAAATTTTAAATTGTAGGTCATAATGATGAAATAAACATAACTCCTACAAACGTTATTGCACATTCCATAAGCCCATCAAGACCTTGTTTTATGCCACAGTGGTATTTATCCTTAGTGATATGAAGATATGAGACTAATAACATGGGATCAACTGACTTGAGCCTTGTTCCATTAACAAGAATAAAACATACTAGGGTTGAATCCATGTACACCCTGCCTAGCATACTAATCAATGAGTTAATCTTCAGCATTTTCATTACATGAACATTCCCTTCCTCTCTGGCTAACATATACATGAGCAATTATTTTGAGCTGTCTAAAAGGTCCAAGTCTTCTGAATCCAATTTTATTTTTTCTCATTCTTTGCTTGATTGTCTATATACTGTAATAAAATGGCAGCAATGAATCAATGGTTTTATTGCATACCACTGTAGTTTGAATGAATATTACCTTAAAATGGATTTCGACATTACACAATGCTGGTTCTGCTACTGAGATAGTACAGCTACCAACCTCAATTATACAAATGGCAAAATACTGCTGGAAAACCATAGATGCTGCCTGAGTGTTCCCAGGGACTTCTGTTTTTATCTCAATTATATAAACCTATCCCAATCAGCACATGGAAGCACCAGAGTACAACATACCTTCAGTTATTACTTAAAATTAATTATATATATACTGCATATAATATATATATGAGTGATTTCACTACTTGAAAAGTTATAACAAAATAACATGCTAAAAATTACTTGCAACTGATATAGCATTGTATCGGACTCCAAAATATTTCACGCAATAAGTTATTTTGTACTCTAGTAACAATTATTACATATATAATTGTAACAGCTAAACTGTGCCAACAACATCCACCAAACTGCTATAACATAAATGAAAACAATCAGTCAAGACACAAGGCAAGTATCCTGCTCATCTTCAAAATAGTACCATTAGATCCTCAAAATCAGAATAGGCAGCTGTTTAACATTGAATCTGAACAACATCAACAACAACTTGCACTTATATAGTGCCATCCACGCAGGGTAGCATCTCGGAACGCTTGACAGTGCGGAGCCTGACTCCGAACCAGTGGGGGGTGGGGGGGGGATTGGAGATGGCCGTAAGCACGTTCAAAGAGGAAGGTTTTCAGGTGGAATTTGAAAAAGGGGAGAGAGGGGGCAAGGCGGAGGGACTGTGGGATGGTGTTTCAGAGTTCAGGGCTTAGTGGCTGAAAGCATGACCTCCGATGGTGGGGTGGAGGGTGCGAGGGATGAGCAAGAGACCAGTGCCAGTCGAGTGGAGGTGTTGGGTGGTAGATTGTGAGGATCTTGAAGTTGATCCGTTCAGTGATGTGGAGCCAGTGGAGCCTGGGCCAGAACCAGTGAGATGTGGGTACGGAGTTTAGTCCGGGTTAGTATGCAGGCGGCAGAGTTCTGAATGAGTTGGATCTTTTGAATAGTGGAGCTGGGGAGACCGGCAAGGAGTTCATTTGAGTAATCCAAGTGGGAGGTGACAAATGCATGCATGAGGGATTCGGCTGTATTTGGGATAAGGTACGGTCGGAGGCGGGCAATATGGCAGAGGTGGACGAAGGCAGTCCCTGGTCAGGGCCCAGATGTGGGGGAGGAACGACAGCTGGGGATCGAACCTGACGCCTAGATTGCACACTGGTTCGGTGAGTCTGAGGGAGAGCCCTGGGAGGTTGAGGAGTTTAGATCCACAGGAGTGAAGACGTTGATGGGAACCAAGGAGCCTACGGATGACATCGCCCAGAAGGCGCATATAGATAAGGAAAAGTAGAGGGCCAAGAATAGAGCTCTAGGGTACCCCACAGTTGACCAAGTGGGGGCAGGAGGAGAAACCATTTCCGAGATGAAATGGAGGGAGTTGGTTAAGTAGGACTCAAACCATGCAAGTGCAGTCCCACAAAGGTGGATGAGGGAGGAGAGCCGATGGAGGAGGATGACATGGCAGAGAGGACGAGGAAGCAGAGGGAGCCCTAGTCACAGAGAGAGAGAATGTCGTTTGTGACTTTGACAAGCACTATCTCTGTGCTGTGGGCAGGGGCTCGAGGAGGGAGTGGAGGGACAGATGTGACCAAAGTTGACCTACAACAATGCGTTCCAGGATCGTGGCAAGGAAGGGTAAGTTGGGACGGCAGTGTGAGAGATTAGAGGGATCGAAGATGATTTTTGGGGGAGGGGTGTGATAACAGCAGTTTTCAGGGGGAGTGGAACAGAGCCCAAGTCCCGTCTTGATATGAAAGATATGATTGGTTGAGAAATGTATTTAGAGCAGCTAGCAAAATAAAATGTGTAGTATCTTAATCCTTACAGTTTCATATCTATTTCTAGAACCTCAGAAACGTAAGGCACCATAGCAGTCTATTTGTTCCATTATTTTATGTTGATTTTGAAAATTGTTATCTATTGAAAATGGCCAAAGTAACTATTAAAAAATACTTTTGATAAAAAATCTGTGTTGGATTGTCAATCAATGTGACAAAGTTAAATGTCAAACGTATCAAAATGATTCTACGAACAAAACACGTTAAGCACAAGATGTAAGAAAACTGGAGTGAAATGACAGTAATGACAGCTGTACACAAGAGACCTGACAGCACTTTGCTTCCGCTAATAATGTCTTGTTAAAAAGTCTTTATTAGTAATCCCTGCTAGCAATCTGCATCTGACACATCTCACTGAAATATACCACTTAATCAAAGTTAAAATAGTTTCAGAGGTCCGATTAGTTTTGCATTGTAAGTGGAACTTTTTAGAAAGCAACCATTTATATAGCTATACAGGAATGCTAATAAAGATTTTGGACAAAATAATGTCTCTATTTCCACTTTCTCCTATTTGTGGGCACACACACATTTCATGTTGGGTTTGCTTTAATACTTGAGTTATGATTATTATTAATTATCCCCAACCCTTGCTTCTGTGATTTGTGCCCTCAGACACTATTCACTTCTCTTGCAGCAGCTGTGTCATTCTCGGTGCTATCTGCTCTGATACAGCCAGAGGATTTTCCACATGAATAACTGAGTTGATTCACCGTCTTGACACAAGCCAAATTATTTGGAGCTATGAGCAAAACCGTAAGCAAATCAGATCAAAACAAACCATAGCATGAGTCTCTAACCAAAACAAACAATTTGTACTTCTGATACTTTAGGCTGGTCTCATCTAACTCTTGATTTGTGTTTGAATTTGTGCTTGAATTTGTTTTTTAAAAAATTAATGCCAAATAATTTTATTTAAACAACTCACGAAAGGGGTTGATCCAAAATGTGAAAGCAGTATTGGGATTAGAATTATTACCATGATGACACAGCTTCTGTTTTCTCCACAGTTGCGTATACATCAAACAGATGCCCACCAAAAAACAAATGATAATGTATTGGTTCACTCCTTGAAAATGAACAGGATCATTATCTGCCTGAGAACAAGATAACCCAATTGAAATTAATAACCACAGAAGACAAATAATATTAATAATAGCCCTTATATTTTATATACAATAAAACCCGTATAAGTCATAAATTCATAAATTTTTGAATCGTAAAATCACCTGAGTCCTATACTCACCCAAGTAAACAATACAAATAATTTTGCATGGCCTATGGAAAGTGTGATAGAAATTGCTTTTTCTTGTTCTGTAATGTCTTATGTTTTTACACTTTGGTTTAGTGGGAAGCAAAGTTTTTGTGTAAAAGAAGAGTCTAATCCTTCATTCGCTCAATGTTCGGAGTAAGAGGACAAGTACTCAATTATCAGTGGTAAAGGTACAATTGGAACAGTGATCATGCAGTTTAGGTATTCACTTACTTTCCACAATCACTTCTCTGTTCGTCCAGTCGTCGTTGATTATCTGGATGTTTCCAAAATGAACATCACTCAGAAATACCCGATTCGTTTTTCCTGTCTTTCGACTGTAATCGAAGGCCAAGGCAATCACATTTTTGAAGTATTCTGGCTTTTCGTATGGTCTTATGGGGGGATTTAAGTTGGTCTCATCTGTCAGATGAATGGACTTCAATATTGTTCTTTCTGAATACAGCAAATAGCCATCATAATCATGACAGCTGAGCCCATCTTCAGCAAGTACACTGTATGAGCATTCACAAGTTCTTTGACCATTTCCACGGTATAAGCAAAGTTGCTGGCATCCACCGTTGTTTTTTGCACAGATATTGGTACCTGCAAAAGATATATTTTTTGCATTGTTATCTCGCAACTCATTATCTCGCTCTGCAAGCTGATCACTCCCATTCTTGACTGGCTCCACTGGCTCCCCACCTCCCAGAAGATCAAGTTAAACATCCTCACCCTCACTTTTAAAACCCTCCATGATCGTACCCCACCCTACCTCTGTGACCTTCTAAAACCTTACCGACCTGCCTTCTCCCTCTGCTTAGTAGGCACATCCCCGTCCTGCCCTCCTTGACCACCCACCATCGATGGTTGGGCCATCAGCTTTTCTGCACCACACTCTTGAACTCTATCCTGGAGTCACTTTGCCTCATCTCTTTCCTTGCCTCCATCAAGGTCAATCTCAAGGCCTTCCTCTTTGATTGGCTTTCAGTCTTCTATGTAAACTGTGGTACTCCCAAGCACATTTCAATTAAAAATCAAAGTTAAAATGCGTTTTGAAATATCGTCTGATTTCTGAATAATGGTAGTGCCTGAAGCTGGCCTGCACTTTTCACCCTTATGTTAAAGTATTAAGAACATATAAAAGTTCTTAGCAGTAGTTGATATCAGTCCTTCATGGGTGGATTTGACTTGAGCAGGCTGAATGTTTGAAGGATAATGGTTAGCTTGAAAAAAATGGGTCAAAGTGAATTGCTGTTTCAAAACAGCTGAATTACATATCGATTGCAAGTGTAAAGCCATGTAGCACCTACAATAAATAATTACCTGTTTAGATGCTTACAGAGCACCAACCATTGTGGAGCTGTAGAACAGCAGCATAGTTCTTGAAAACGAAACACTGATTGAAACACAGCCTAAGATGCTCTCTACAGTTGATTTGAACCAGGGAAGTGAAGCATTGTGGATGTAAAAGTCTACCAATTTACTGAACATCATGTTGGTGAGTCAAACTGTTTCAACATATAGCTGCCCAGACTCTTAGCTATCATAAGCAATATAAGACGTCATAAGGTTAAGTAACAGCTCCATGGTTCCATTGCTTAAAATACATCATAATATGCTATTTTCCTTTTAATACTAGAATTCTCTTCAGCAAATCCTTCTACTTGTCCTTTAAGTATTACCTTGAGCCTCCAGCTGGGATAGCCTGCCCAACAGAGCTAAAGCCTACAGTTCAGATTCCAATAGTGAAACATTAATCAACCTTGGGAAATCTACCGCCTCCACTCATAGCAACTGTTAAACATTCCTCTTTTAATTTATGTATGGGAAACTAAATTATGCAGCTTGACTGAAATCTAGCCATACTAATTTCAGAGTCACAGTAAACTGGAGTGCCAGACACACAGAGGCTTGGACCTGAGGATGACTGGTGCAAAATCAGATCAATGTCTCCTTGAACTATTGCTGGCAATTCGCATGGGGTTAAAAAAAGGTGTGTTTAATTTAATTGGACCATACATTAGAGGCAAGTTATTTTAATTAAATACTCTACAAATGAGAACAATCCTTCAGAGAGAGCAGAACATTTTACTGATCAATATTTTTGCACAGATCTATTTTCCCCAAAGTATAATCGTAACACTTTGTAGAGAAAAGGGCAAAAAACAAACATGAGGGTTACAATGCAATACAAAATTACATTTGTAAAGCACCTGTCATGTAGGGAGGACTTCCCAAGACACTGAACAGTGAGGGATTAGGACTTGAGCAGATGGGGTGTTGGGATTAGGGATGGTGGAGGGCAGAGAGGGTAGGAGGGTGGCCGAAGGAATGATCGAAAGGGAAGGTCTTGAGATGTACCTTGAAGGTGGCAAGGGAGGAAGCGAGGCAAAGGGAATGTCGGATGGAGTTCCAGAGAGGGGGGGATAGAGGCTGAAGATCCGACCGCCAATGGTGGGGCAGGCCAGACAGGCGACATGGAGCAGGCCGGAGCCTGCTGAGCAGAGGGAACGGACAGATTGATAAGGGCTAAGCAGGTTGGAGAGGTAGGAGGGGGCAAGGCATGGAAGGCCTTGAAGGTGAGGATGAAAATTTTGAACTTGATCCTCTGAGGCATGGGGAGCCAGTGGAGCCGGGCGAGGGTGGGGGTGATGGGGTCATAGAGCCTGGTGCGGGAAGGACACGAGCTGCAGAGTTCTGGATGATCTGCAGCTTGTGGAGGAAAAGTTGGGAAGGCCGATGAGAGGGCATTGGAATAGCCAACTACCTGTCTTTGGTTACAGAAATCAGTGTAGGGTTGAACAAAATAGATTTCAAGCAATTATAAAACTGAATTGACCTTTTTCTCGGGCTCTGTTGAAAATCGTAACACCCTTCAGATTTACTCCAAGGTGCGATCTCATGGTTACCGCATCCGCAGCACTGCTCTTGAGTCCTCTCTTGATGGATCCGTTGGCATGTGCTCTGTCAAAAGTTAACGTAGTTCATTAACACAATTGATAATTAAAACAACTGCCTAACAAGGAAAGGAACTGCAGGGTGCTCTTCTGTTTAAGTCGCTGCTTTGGCTCAAATATTAATATCAAAAGTGCTTTCACCTCAGGAAATAGTACGGTGTTTTGGGATTCTCATTGTGACCTTGCTGGATAGGGCTAATCCGCCATGGATAGAAAAGCTGTCACTGCAATAACATTTTGAATCCTAAATACTTATGGGAAAATAAATTACCTGTCAGACCAGAAGATGTAAACCCCAAAGACTGCAACTGAAAACATATCCATGTTGTTTCCTGACAGCACAATCTCTCGGTTTTCTCCACTCTCAAGGTCGATTCTTTCTATCTTGTCTGTACGGGCATCACACCAGTATAATTTACTTTCCTGTGGATCAATTGCAAAGTAAACTTCAGCAGACTGTGTTAGAGGCATTAGACTAATTTTAAAAAAAGTTGAAGCTCAAAGGAGAAACAACTTGTTAAACTATAATTGAGAGAATATGTTCCCACTGTTCACTTGACTGAATTTAGTAGCAAACCTCGTAGTCGATTGATATTCCATTTGGCCAGACAATGTTGGTGCTCACAAGGCTTCTCTGCTCCGATCCATCTAACCTCGCTCTTCCAATGTAAGGAGTCTGTCCCCATTCAGTCCAGAACATGAACCTATCATAAACAAGTTAAAGCATCACATAGTAACATGAAATTCACCTGTTTCAGAATATGCCATTTATTCACTGTGGACTACTTCCATAGGATGTCAGTTTCATTCAGTGGATAACAGTTTCTCCTCTGGATCAGAAGATAGCACTTTCATCCCACATCACATCTTGATCATCTAATTTCCATTGCATTAGTGAGGGAGTACTGCATTATTGGAGGTACCTTTCAGATAAGACATCAAACTAGTATCCTATCTGCTGCCTAGATGATTTAGATGGACTTCAAAACTCCCAGAGTACTATTTCAAAGATATAGCAATTGAGCAAATATTTCACCTTCATCCAAATGTACCAAAAATAAATTAATTCACCATTAACCTTATTGTTGAATGAGAGATACCTCTGGCACTGATGAGCTGCTGCAGTTGTCTATATACCAGTAGCTACTATTCAAAGTAACTCATTCTGTGAAGCCATGTGAGATGTTTTAACATAATAAAGCACTATATCAAATGTATACATTTTTATTTATCTAAAAGTAACAACTAATATACCAAGTAGCTGTGTCTATACAAAATGACATCATGTTAATTGTTACAGCCCAAAGCTACTCTTCATTGCTCCAATGCTAATGTTCGATAGCTTTCTAAGGCCTGGGACTGAGGGCGAATGATGAAAAATTATAGCTTTAGTAATTAACGTCTTTTGAATGCAAAGATTTGCATATCTGATAACAGGCATGTAGCTGGGAATGTTACAAAGCAAAACCTTTGGGGCTATAACCATTGTACTATTAAGTGGCAAGAAGTAACCTACATTTCTAGTGGGATAGGACATATCCACTCAGATATACAGTATGTGAGGTAATATTTTGATTTTGGAGGATGTAAATCCTTCCAAAGACCTGTTTTTACAATCATATTTCATTGTATAACACCAAGAGTTTAAATGTTTGCAGTATTTTTTGTCAACAAATTGTGCACTTTATCCTTATTGCTTAACTAGGTAAAGGGTCCCTTATGGGTGAAAAAAAAGACAAATCTTGCTATCAAACAAAATTTATCAGGGACCTGAGAGGCACTGATCAATACATGGTGTGCAGTATCTCTGTCTCTCATGCCAGACAGCAAGACATATGTGCTATGAAATGCAAAGTATTCATCGCTGCTGACAATCCATGAAGTTTGCCCAACATATTTTTTAGGTCGACTACATGTGTGTAATGTTCAAAAGGCAGATCCACAAACAAATAGATACGCTTTAAAATCGTAGATGCCTACACTGGCAGCTTCATGAAAAAAAATCCTGGATTTTTCCAGTGTCAATTAGCCTTGTAATACATTAGGAAATCCAGGAGATGGTGCTCATTTAGCAACATAAACTAGTATTTCAGTGGGTATCTGCCCACAACGTGAATTTATGCAGCTGCAAGTGATTTGCAGTAATAAGTAAAGATATTAGGAGAGTGACATCTCACTTATATTTCCAGTTCCCAAACTGTATCCATTGGTCAGGTTGTCGAAGAGAGCCCTGTGTCTTTCAGCTGAGCCCTATGCAGTCCACCACTGACTGGTGCACAATACAGTTTTTTTTTAACACTAATACTTGTTTGATATGATCACATCACATTGTCTCAAAGGGTTTCCCACTGAGATACTAATGTGTAGTGTTGCTTCGAAGGAAATCACAAACAGCAGTGAGATGAAGTTTCTATGGGATTTTTTCCAGTAAATTTAGGCGAGGATGGAGTCTTGATCAGGATTAATACATGTCTCGTAACCCTTTGAAATTTAAACAACTTTTAAGAGTCCATTTGTTCAACAGATTGCAGTTACAGGACAGGACTTGGAGGCCAGAGGATCACATAGTGGAAGGGGAGGCCCTTGTCTTGAAACCTATGCACTCAAGTGGGCTTTGAATCGTGCTGTCAGAGGACCATTGTCAGGAACAATTCCAAATACCTTATTTTAACATCCTAAGGCTTCAGTTCAAAACTTTTTACAGAGTCCACAGAGCACACAGCAAGGAAATGTTTATTTTAAAGTAGAATGTTGCTTTCAAAAGAGAATTGGATAGGTACTTGTAAAGGAAAGATTTGCAGGGCTTTGGGATAAGCGAGCAGGAATGGGCTCTTTCAAAGAGCCAGCACAGGTACGATGGGTTAATTGGCCTCCTTCTGTGCTGTAAGATTCTACAATTCTATGAATTCAATATTTGTAAACACATGGCTTCTTTTTGGAGCACTCTCTTTTAATAATTTAAGCATGGTTCTAAGATTTTCCAGGGAAATGAAATTCGCTCTGCGAAACTGCATTTTTACAGCAAATGTAAATTCATTAAATGCCTTCTAAAAATGCAAAGTGGCACTTCACATTGGACAGGAGTTGTTTGTCGATGTACTAAAGACTCAATTTTAATTAATCAACGTTTTCTATTTTCTAGTTGTCCGGAAAAGACAGGACAGTTTATGTCACAAAAATGAATCCGTTATAATGTCATCAAGCTATCCTCGGTAAATACGTCCGACTGTGCTCAGTAAGCTTTCAGCTATGTTGTCAGGTGTGACCGAATGAGAAAATGGGCGTGACATTGCTCTACTGGGTTTTCTAAGTTTGCTTTATTTGGGGGGGAGATGTAGTGGAATGCAGAGGAGGGGAATGCAGAATATGTGCACCTGAATATAAATGATAAAGGTCACTAAAAAATGCCCATCAGGAAATAAGAATAAAAAAGAGCTTTGCTTTACCCTTTTTCTGGATGCACTGTTATAGCACGTGGCTGATCAAGTCCTTGGGATATTACCACATAACGAAAGGAACCATTAAATCGTGCAACTTCTATTATATTGAAGCCATGATCAGTCCAGTATATATTGCCTGAGAAAGATGTAAAAAAAGATAAACGTTAATGTTCTATGAAACTACAACATTAGCAGATAATTGAAAAATGAGCAGAAAATCTCTCACCAGCTATCCAATCCACTGCAATGCCTTCAACCCTTCCAAGGCCATTACTGATAATATCTTCTCTCCAGGTTTGATCTCGCTTGGCTCTGCTAATTGTGCTCCTTCCCATATCTGTCCAATAGATTGTATCATTTGCTGCAAATAAAATTGCAGGATTTAAGATTTTAAGAAAGTCATCAATTTTCCACTGAAATTATGACAAAAAGGATGGGTTAGTCACTGCATGAAAAGTTTTACTTCATGAAATGAATATATAAAAGATGCCTTTTGCCTTTTTTTTGCTTTAATGTAGAGAAAGGCCTTTTGCATTTGTATGGCCTTTTGTATGGTTCAAAATACCACACTAACTGATATTGCAAATAGTAAAGCTAATTTAATAGAGTTGTCACAGTTTTGAACATAATTTTAATTTTAACAAGTTGCAGAGCTTTTTTTTTACATATATAGCTCTGGTTTCAAAGCTTTTACAGGCATGCAATAACATTTGTAGTATATTTCTGCAATGCTGATAATGCCAATTATTGTTAAGTACTACTTATATAAGATCATAGATGAAATTTAAGGAATAAAAGAACCACTTAGACATTTAAAGCATTCAATTCAAGCATTTAAATGTATCCATTTGATGGTAGGTCATTCAATATCATGGCACAAATATCGGTTAATAAATTCCTTAGATTAATAGAATGTTGAAACCTTATCTGTTTCTAATATAATCTTCATCTCCTTTCTGATCATCAGATCAAGTCATCTTATTTTTCTATTAGGTCATATAGCATGCAATGCTGTCTCCCAATTATTATTACCAGCAGTTTGCACTCTTTTGAGCGATGACAGTACACGTCAGAAATGTCAGAAATCTATTCTCAGCAATAGTCATGAATTACATCCCATCAAAGAGGAATTCACTTCAACAGTAACAGATTACAAAGTGTCACTTCAGTATCTTTCTTGGTAATTGTGATTTTTTCACTGATCCTTGTAAGTATAGTATATTCTGTCAGGACATTGATAATTCCTTTGCAACCCAACTTGGGATAGAATAGTTTACACACATGCATTTGCAATTATGATCTGTAGACAGCCTCTCTTAAGTGTGAGCATGTCTAAATTCTGAAGCCTTGCATGAAAAAGTAGGGACATGGATTGGAAAAATCAGGCATGTCACATATATTTATACACATCTGTATTCTTTGTAAGTGGATATTTTGTTGTCAGTAAGAAACAACAAATTGTCTTCAACATGACGGGTTATCATGCCAAAATGCATGAAAGCATTTTATACTGTAATGTTTGTAAATCCAAAACACAATATAGATTCACTAGTTCCTTTATTTAAACCTTACACTTACACTCTCTTCCACAATCTGCCCAGTCACTTTCCTAGAATCTTTTTATACTTGTTTGCTTCTCATTGTCAATGTCCAGTTGGCAATTAAGCCATTAAAGCAATATGAAACATACACAGTGATTTACTTTGGCATATAGTGACTGTCCCTATGTACGAGAATTAGGCAGCAAATCTCCAGCAGCAACAAGCCACGGACAGCAATGAGCTGAATGACTAATTCATTCATTTTTCCTTTGGTAAACTTGGCTGAGAAAAGAATACTATTGCAAAGTCTTTTATCAGGCAAAAAAACACAAAAGGATTACAAAACGAAGATTGGAACGTATGCAGTAATAACCTAAAATCTATTGATATTACCAAGTTAAAAAACATATATTGGCCAGTCTAATCTCCCTCTCTTTTCTTATTGCGTTGTTGCATTGATGAACAATTCCTTGGTTGAAGCAAAAAGCATCAATGTGCTTTTAAGAGGAAACGTGATGCATACAAACACAGAGGTAAAGAAAAGGGAGTAAGAGTGTTAGGGTCTCCTGTGGAGTATAAACACCGGTGCAGATTAGTTAGGTTGAATGGCCTGTTCCCATGGTGTATTACTTCATGTAAGTCTATATATTGGCCCTCATGTTACTAAAGTGGTTATCTATGTAGTTCTCAAGCCAATAATTGCACACTGCAACTCTCATAGTTTTTCTCTATGCTGTTTGTTTCACGTTGATAGATAGAATGCTTTATTTTGCCTCATGTGATCTATTGAATCTGTATGTCTCCCACTTTCCAAATCATTTTCATTTTCTATGCACAACATGTGGTACTGGCTAAATCCAATGAAAAAATGAGCATTGTGTGTGCATCAAAAGTGGCAAACACGCAGACATGCTGAGTGGAAATAAGTTTCTTAACTCCCAAATAAAATCAAGCAAAAGAGGGAAGCATTCAGAAATCACTTGTGCCTAGACACGATGAAAGAGTATGACCTCTGAATAATGACCTCACTGTACAACAAAATCCATTTCTCTATGTCTAAGAAGGGGCATGGAATGAGTGGGGGGGGGGCGTAATTAGGCCCTTCAAACCCAATCCATTGTGTGTTGGAACTCAGAACTTTGAATTCCTTGCACCAGCCGCACTGTAATTTATCAATGTCTCATTTGAAACTGAGATCCTGCAGGAAAAAATAAGATATTTATGTTTAAGTCTAGAGGCATTGTAAGGCTATACTTTTAACCGGTGATCAACAGCAAATATATGTGGAGATCCATTGAGCAGTACACAGAAAATTCTCAGAACATAAAATGGTTTGCAGTAATCACACCTCTAAATAATAGGTTGTGAGAGAAGCATTTTTCATAGTGACATGCTGGGCGGGTAAAACCGTTGCATATTTGGAGATTGAGATGGACCATGGACTTGATACTAGATCCTTTAATCAATTTGGAAGGTATGAATGTGGAAATGTATGAATATAGAAAGGAATGAACCTGTAACCTGTCTCAGACAACAACAACAACAAGATTATGCCTTTCAAGTCGGGAGGACTTCCCAAGGCGCTGGACAGTGTACAGCATTTCAGACCCGAGCTGGGGTCAGGGGAGGGAGAAGGGAGGGGAGGGGAAGGGGGGTGGCCGATGGCATGGTCAAAGAGGAGGATCTTGAGGCAGGACTCGAAGGCGGCTAACGAGGGGGCAAGAGGGAGTGACTGAGGGATGGAATTCCAGAGGTTGGGGGCAGAGTGGCTGAAGGCTCTCCCACCAATGGTGGGGCGGGTGGGTCGGGGGACGTGGAGCAGGCCAGAGCCGGCTGAGCGGAGGGAACGGGCGGGTTGGTAGGGGGTTAGGAGGTTGCAGTGGTAGGGTGGGGTGAGGCCATGGAGGGCTTTGTATGTGAGGACCAGGATCTTGAACTGGATCCTCTGAAAGATGGGGAGCCAATGGAGTCGGGCGAGAGTGGGGGAGATGGGGTCACAAAGTTTGGTGCAGGAGAGGACACGGGCTGCAGAGTTCTGGATTATCTGCAGCCTGTGGAGGGAGGAGTTGGGAAGGCCAACAAGCAGGGCGTTTGCATAGTCGACATAGACAGTGTACCAATCACATATTGAAACAAAGTGGACATTGTACTCTGGAGATAGTCTACAAAAGTCATCACCAGGTTATTGGTATGTGACAATGGTAGGGGAAAATTAATCAGATCAATGTTGCCGCTTACAGTAGAGCTTTTTTCCCCACAAATGAGGCTTCCAATCATCAGCAACTATTCAACACAATTCAACAATTGGCTCACTTGGGAGCCTTGAATACCTTAACTAGTGCTCAATAAATGTACTTCTCTGGCCGCATGTTGTCAGTGCTGAAGCTCCCATTCATTCGACTCTTCGTCCTAAAGAATGATTGCACCCAGAACAGGAGCAAAAGCAGTCTTGCTTTGTTATGTTTGGTGATCTATTGCTCCTAAGATAGTAACTGCGAGTTCACTAACTGCCAACATATGCACAGATCTTTACGTGAATAGAAACTTGCCATATGTTTCATATTAACATGAAAGTGCTCTACTACAACACCAATGATCTTTACAGACCAGACAGAACCCGAGTTTCAGTTTTCAGTCTATTAACCTAGAAATAATAATCCCTCCAAAAATAAATAAATAAATAAATAAATAAATAAATAAATAAATAAATAAATAAATAAATAAATAAATAAATAAATAAATAAATAAATAAATAAATAAATAAATAAATGAATAAATAAATAAATGAATGAATGAATGAATGAATGAATGAATGAATGAATGAATGAATGAATGAATGAATGAATGAATGATAAATCGGTCATTTTCTGACTGTTTGTGGGACACTGCTGTGCACAATTGGCTGCTGCATTTTGCCCACAAAAATACGGTCAATTCACTTTACTGTATATTCTGTGAAGCGCTTTGAGACGTCCAGAAGATGTGAAAAGTGTTATATCAAATGCAAGTATTATATTATATTATTATTATTATATTATTATAACCTCAATATAACTCAATCAGGGAATTTGTGCTCAATCATTTTCTTAATCATAATTCAGGGATATGTTGGTCTGAACTATAGGGCTCACTGGTATCTAAGTTCCCTTAGGTTAATTCAAAACAATTGCAAAATTCAAGATACTCTGTGGAATCGAAGTTAGCCCTTCAGGATTATACAAAGCTTGTGCTCAACATACTAAATGCTCCATCACATAACATTCAGGCAAAAAATTCAGTCAAATCACAATAGGTAAAATCTTTGCTTATAATATCTTGTGATTCCCGAGCAAGCCTGGCACATTTCAAAGAAAGATTTTTCACATTTTACAGAAAACTGAGTACTTTTCGTATTTTCACAAATGTGTTCTGTGAGAGTGAGCAGCCACAATAAACAATTAAGAAGGTGACTGCATAATGCTTTCAGGTCAGAAGAACTTTTAAATCACTCTGCTATAATTTAAGGCAGAACATTATTGTTTGGGGGTTCTCTTCGAACTGAGCAGTTTCAGAGCTTTAATTGATATAGTCAATACAATACAGCTCCCTCCACGCAGGGTAGTATCTCAGAGCGCTTAACAGTGGTGGAGCCTGACTCCAGGGAGGAGTGGGCCGTAAGCACGGTCGAGGAGGAAGGTTTTCAGGCAGGACTTGAAAAAAAGGGGAGAGAGGGGACAAAGCGGAGAGATTGAGGGAGAGTGTTCCAGAGTGTCGGGGCTTAGTGACTGAAAGCACGATCTCCAATGGTGGGGCAGAGGGTGCAAGGGACGAGCAAGAGGCCGGTGCCAGTCGAGGGGACGTGCCGGGTGGTGGGGAGTGAGGAGGTTGGAGTGGTAGGAAAGTGCCAGAGAGTGAAGGGATTTGAACACTAGTGTGAGGATCTTGAAGTTGATCCATTCGGTGATGAGGAGCCAGTGGAGCCTGGGCCAGAACTGGTGAGATGTGGGTACACAGTTTGATCCGGGTCAGTGTGTGGGCGGCAGAGTTCTGAATGAGTTGGATCTTTTGAATAATGGAGCTGGGGAGACCGGCGAGGAGTGTGTTTGAGTAAACCAGGTGGGAGGTGACAAACACATGCACGAGGGTTTCAAATGCATTTGCGGTAAGATACGGTCGGAGGCGGGCAATGCGGCGGAGGTAGATAAAGGCGGTCCTGGTCAGGGCCTGGATGTGGGGGAGGAAGGACAGCTGGTGCTTGAACTGGATGCCTAGTTTGGGCACTGGTTCGGTGAGTCTGAGGGAGAGCCCTGGGAGGTTGAGGAGTTTAGATTCGCAGGAGTGAAGACGTTGATGGGAGCCAAGGAGTATGGCTTCCATCTTGTCCATATTCAGCTGCAGGAAGTTTGCACTCATCCAGGCGCTGATGTCTGCCAGACAAGCCGATAGAACATCGGCGGACCTGCAGTTGATGCTGGAGGAGGCAAATTAGATTTGTGTATCATCCACATGCATGTGGAAGTTTACCCTGTGTCTGCGGATGACATCGCCCAGAGGGAGCATATAGATAAGGAAAAGAAGAGGGCCAAGGATGGAGCCCTGGGGTACCCCGCAAGTGACCGGATGGGGGAGGGAGAAGAAACCATTTGCCAAGATGAAATGGAGGCAGTGGTTAAGTAGGACTCAAACCATGAGAGTGCGGTCCCACTAAGGTGGATGAGGGAGGAGAGGCAGTGGAGGAGGATGGCATGGTCGACAGTGTCGAATGCAGCAGAGAGATCCAGGAGGAACAGGAAACAGAGGGATAACTGATCCAAATAACTGATCTAGAATACACAGGTTATGAATTTTGATCTATGCTTAGCTGTGTAGCAATGGGAGAGCAGCAACTGATTTCACAGGGAAATACCTGACACAGTACAATGACTACTTGGATTTATATAATTCCTTTCATGTAGTGTAACATCTTGAAGCACTTTACAGTGCCAAAGACTAAGTAGTGTTTATGGGGAGAGGAGAGACAACGATAGGCACAATCATAGAGGTGGGTTTTCTGGAGGCCTTTAAAGATAGAAAGATAGAGAAGGGATGGGGTGATAAGGAGGACTGATGGGATAAGGAGGATTTAGTGAGAGAGTTCCAGTGGGTTGGGGCACCAGAAAGCTCCGCCATCAATGATGGAGTGGAGGGAGTTATGAGCATGCAGCTGGCCTGAATTTGCTGTGTTTTATAAGCAAGTTTTATAATCCATAATAAATTGGATAATATTTAACACGCAAACCTGCAAATCTCCATATCTATAAACATGCACATTGCCAACACCACCAATGATTCTGAGAAACAGGAGACTCATTAAAAGAGTAAAAATGTTCATTTTAGTTGCATATAAAATGTTCATATGAAGCCTTTGATGTGGGAAAGGTCACATTTATGCAAAATATAGCCTTACAATGCTGTTGTATTGCAGGGAATTATATTGCATCCAGCTGGAACTAGTCAGCATCTGCTCCTTCTTGTCACTGCAGTGTAGGAATGCTCACTATACAGGTACGACAGTTTCAATTAGGCAACATTCATCAAATTACCTGCTCTTCTTGTCCCTGTTCTCTTAGGAAATCACACAATGTAATTTGTCAATATATTTCCAATGCTTTTTTTGTCAGACACTTCACATATTATTTCCTGATACTTATATATTTGAAGTGCCTAAGGAGTCATTTGGACTGCTGATGATTACTCAGCCAAACACTGAGCCATGTTCCTTCATTTAGCGCTTAGAAGGATACACGATGTGCATGTGCCTGAGGTTATGGTTGCACCAATAAATTGATGCAATCGTTTGGAGCCAGCAAGAATAAGTTCAATAGTAGATGTAAGATGCTCCCCAAAGCACTTATTTTCTCATTATAATATAATACAAGAGGGAGGACTGGCAGAACTGGTAGCTTGTTTGTGCACTGCAGATGGTCAAAGTGACAAATTACATTTTGTCAATCTGTGACCAGGGTTCCCTCTGTCTTCCGATCCTCCTTGACTTCTCTGCTGCCTTTGACACTGATGACCACTCTATCCTCCTCCACCACCTCTCCTCTCACCTCAATATTCATCGTTCTAATCATTAGTAATCATTAGCAGTCCAACTCTATCTCTCTGCCTCCACCCTTTACTCCAGGACTACTGCTGTCTTGTCAGAATGTCTGTCAGACATCATGTGCTGGATGAGAGTTTCTTCAGTTGAACGTCAACAAGACCAAGGCCCTCCTGGTTGGCTTCCGTCAGCAATTCTACACCTCAGGCGTTGGCAGCATCACCATCCACTACTAAGTCAGTCCGGAACCTTGACGTCTATTTGACCCTCAACTACCCTTTTTACCCCATATCCATGCCCTGACCCGCCCTGCCTTCCCCACCTCCACAACATCGCCCAGCTCCGCCACTCTCTCACACCGCAGGCTGCCAAAACCCTCATACATGCATTCATAACATCCAGGCTTTACTAGATCTTAGTCTGCGTCTGCGATCCCCTAATCCCCTATCATCCTGCTTGCTTCCTCCGCTCAGTGGGCTACGGCCTGCTTCATGCCCCCATCACCCCCCACACCTGCCTTCCACCCACCCTGATCACATCCCCTTGCTCGGGTCCAAATCTTTGACTGTCCAGTGTCTTGGGACATCCTCCTGACATGAAAGGCGCCATAAAATATAATTTGTTGTTGTTGTTATTTCTTTAAATATTAAAACTTTATGACCAATAATGGTAATGTTTTCATTGGATTTCATGATAACTTTGTGAATTCCGTTGTCAAGTCTACACAGTAAACCCAAATTCTGATCTGAATACTGTACAACAGATGCACTAAACTCAAAATGACAAGCAATGCTCCTGAGACACAATTACACTTTATTCATTTATTCTAAGACCAGTCATTATTCAAACAATAAATAAATAAGCAGCATTTCTGAATAAATACATCTGTACAACAAATACATGCAACACATTGAATTCTATATCTGACTGCCTCCTGTTCATGTTGGGGAGAATACAAGAATAATAACCTTTTAAATGAAGTGCTAGAGAGTAGACTGGGTGCATGTGGAAGTTTACGTCTTATTCAGAATTGTCAGGGAAGGGAGAGAATTGGAGAGGAAAAATAGTATAAAAAGTCCATCATTTCTTTAATGCAAATCATAAAAGCAGATCGCTTTTCCAGGGATAATAATCCCTTCAAAAAAATTAATAAAAAATAATAATACTAATTTGGTCACTTAATCCACGACTCTTTGTGGGACACTGCTGTGCGAAATTGGTTGCCACAATTTGCCCATAAAATACAGTCAATTCACTTTACACTATATTCTGGTGAAGCCCTTTGAGACATCTTGAAGATGTGATAAGGTGCTATATCAAATGCAAGGATTATTATTATTATTAATATTATTATTATTATTATTTACAAAGTGCTTTACTTTCACCTCAGAAGTAATTTGGCTAGAATACAATGGTCTAGAGATTAATGATCAATAAACACTTAAGGTGTTTTAAGTTCTGTAATCAGAAATCATAAACCTTTCACATATTGACTTAAAGGAAAATCATATACAAACCTGCATAGAAGTCTATTCCCACAGTCAGTGATGTACCAGATATTGGCAGCAAAGCATCTGATTTATCATTTGGTTCAAGAGATATTCCTCTGATTTCTTCATGAACAGAATACATTAAGAATGATCCAAACCCTAATATATATTAAAAAAAACAGTCAATTATAAATAACAATTCTTTTGTATGGACTCAAAAAAAGCATTTCCCCTTTATATTTTTTGGAGAGTTGGGTATCTGACATATGTGGAAATCAATCACCATGGTTAAAATTTTCCAACCAAACTACTCATAGTTTAACACATGAAGGGGTTACGTTTGTCACGTATGGGGTGTACACTCTCTCCCCACTTTGTTTACTTAATCGTGAAGAGTTCAGGAGCAAGTTAACAAGAGCCAAGGATTAGACTCCACAGGTTGCATTGGGAGTTTAACCAACAAAAACTGACACAGTTTATAGTTGAGTATGTTAGTAAGCTGCCTGCTGTTTCTCCATTTAGAACTAAGCTAGCCAGTGAAGCTTTGAATTGCAGGGTTAACAGGAGCCGAGTGGGAAGGATGTGAGCACTCAGTGTGCTCCTTCAAATTCCTGTTTTATGTCATGGAGAGTATCTTGAAATTTTGTGGACCTGCTTGGCTCGGGTATCCAAGTCATGAGACTCTCACAGAGAACTCTTTGAGTTTAGAATATTTACCACCTTGATTTAAAAAAAAGTTATGCTACCAAGTGTGAAACATACTTCACTGATAGGCTACTCAAAACACATCAAAGTAAACCTTCTATTTTACTGCAAACTATCCCAGGTTGCATTAGCTTTTAACTGAACTCATGAAACTGGCTGAATTTTACATTCATATACAAAATACACCTTTTCGATTATCCTTTGGAGTATATATCCTGCAAAGCACTTGGAGACATCCTCCAGACATGAAATGCACCATATCAAATGTAAGGATTCTTATGCTAAAGCCATTCTCTTTCCCTTGATCTGTCCTCCTTATCAGGGAAGGTTTAACATAGGGCTCAACATAGGGCCTTTCAAATAAGGATGTAGATTTCACTCTGAGATCAGCTTCCAGCAGTCTCTCTCTCTTGCCATGATGATATTGATGATGCTTCACAGGGGCAGTCACACAGATCCACAAATAGACAGAGAGAAGCATATTTACAAAGTGATGGACCAAAGAACTTGACTGTGTACATCTGTAGCAAAGCTGTCTGTGAAGATTATTTAAATTAAAATATATATAAGCGAATTAGAACTATTCACTTTTAGTGGGCAAGGATAAACAAATAATAAGACATCACAACAACAATGTGCATTTATATGGAGCCCTGTAGCTCAGTGGTAAGAGCACTCGCTTTGCAAGCGAGAGACCTGAGTTCAATCCCAGGCAGGGCGAAACCTTGGGCAAGTTTCCTTATTCCACACGCCTAATAATAATCCCTCCAAAAAACAAAACAATAATAAAACAAAATTGGTCATTTTCAATCCATGACTGTTTGTGGGACATTGCTGTGCGCAATTGGCTGCCGCGTTCACCCACAAATATACAGTCAATTCACTTTACGGTATATTCTGGGAAGCGCTTTGGGACGTCCTCCCGACGTGAAAAGCGCTATATCAAATGCAAGGATTATTATTATTATTATATAGCGCCCTTCACGCAGGTTAGCATCCCAGAGCGCATGACAGTGGTGACGTCTGACCCCCAGCCAGGAGTGGGAGGGGGCGGGGGGGGAACATGACTGTAAGCATGAGCAAAAAGGAAGGTCTTTAGGCGGGATTTGAATGTGTGGAGGGAGGGGGCAAATTGGAGGGATTGGGGGAGAGAGTTCCAGAGCTTCGGGGCGTAGTGACTGAAAGCACGGGCGGTGATTGTGGAGTGGAGGGGGCGAGGGACAGACAGGAAGCCGGAGCCGGCCGAGCGGAGGCTGCGGGTGGTGGAGTAAATGGGTGAGCAGCCAAATAACCGAGACAGAACATCATTTCCATGTACTGTGGTTTCACCGAGTTACTTAAAATACAAACCTTCACATGACATCTTGTCACTGCGCAGACTATATCCCAGAGTGCACTTACACGTCCGTCTGCTTTCTGAGGCCGGCAGACAGAGCTGAGAGCAGCCCCCATTGTTCAAACTGCACAGATTACTACCTAAATGGAGCATATAAAAGCAGTGTTCAGCAACCAAGAGACATTCTGGATAGCTACAAGCTACATGAATAATGAGACATCTCTTTACTGTATAGAGATCTGTGTCAAACTGATTGATGGATAACTGTATCAGAGAAAACTAAAATAAGAACTAAAATTTCTATCCCAAAGAGCTCGAAAAATGCATTTTGTTTTACAATAAAGGTGCATTAAATCAATCTGCAGTAATGCGATTTGTCTATCTGCTGTTAAAATTTACGATTATTGTAATACTGTAAAGTTGTGCTCTCTTTACAATGCCGTGGCCCTTTTACCTTGTGATACAAATGACTATATAGACAGGAAAGGTTCACATTTTTTCAGCTACATAAAAAAAGGATCTAGCTTGAGCGCTGAATACAGAAGGGCATCAAATAATATGCCTTTAATCTTTTGAGGTTAGGACTCAACTTCAGATTGAATGGTACTTTTTCAGAAATGTTACCAGTTTTTCTGTACAAATAACCCTGGAAGTACCTCTGATGATCTGTTTCTAACTGAATAGTTAAACTAGAATGATAAAATCTCCTGATGCACACGATGATTTAGCAAATACATTAATGAGTGTAAACAGCATTCACATTGCGCCTTTGCTCCCCGTCACCGAACAGATTAAACCTTCACATCATCAGAAGTTCAAATTTCCTCTTATTCTGTGACATGCACATGTTTGTGATTGTTTAGTTAATGTATGTGACATGAATTCATGTATTTCCCTCCAAGAATTGCAATACCTTATATAGAGTTGTTATAGTCTGGAATGCACTGCCTGAAAGGGTGGTGGAAACAGATTCAGTAACAAATTTCAAAAGGGAATTGCACAGGTACTTGAAGTGGAAAAATTTGCAAGGATTTGGGGAAAGATCGGGGGAGTGGGACTAATTGGGTAGCTCTTCCAAAGAGACAGCACAGGCATGATGGGCCGAATGGCCTCCTTCTGTGCTGTAATATTCTATGATTCGATAATTCTATGAAACAATAATATACACAAATTAGAAACTAGCACGTTATTCTCCACTTTTCAAATAAACGTTCAGTACAGTTAACATGTAAAATAGCTTTTGGAAATGAACTAGATATGAATTAATTGATTAATTGAGACACCTGCCAAACTACTGAAATTCTGTCGACAGAAATTCTGTCTCTGTTGCTTGTCTGGTCTCAAGTGTTTTCAGCTCATGTATTGTGATGTTGAAACCAGCAATATTATGGTAAGATGCTCAAACACATGAGGATAGCTTCATGAACCCTCACACTGTACGTAATACCAAAACCCACAACTGTAAAACTTCATGTACGCATTGTGCCTTTGCTAATTTATTTTGCATCTTATGGTGTAATAATAATAATAACCCTTGCATTTGATATAGCATCTTATCACATCTTTGAGACTTCTCAAAACACTTCACAGAATATACTGTAAAGTGTAGTGACTTTATATTTTGTGGGCGAAACAATCAATTTCAGATGGACAGGACTACACACCACACGATGCAAACAGAAACAGAAACAGAAAGTGGATGCTGAAAAAGAATGAACTTCTCAGTGGTTCCCTTAGAGTGATTATTCCATAATAAAGGTTTGGATGAAGGTGACATTTTGGCTCAGTTGAGACTATTCTTCCAGAACAACAGTCTTACTGCCTTACCATTGTGTCCTGATGTGGAGCTCATCAAAGCTGCTACAATAAATACATCATAATTTACAAACATAAAACATAAAAAATGTTGAAAATACAAGAAATACTTTCCCCCCAAAATGGGAGATTAAAGTATCAGAGGCCTTAGGTTCCACCTAGTCTTAACCTATACATGGTACCCAATCAGCTGTGTACATTGCAGTGCTTTGAGACATCCTCCTGATGTGAAAGGTGCAATATAAATGGAAAGAGTATTGGAAGATTCTTTTGTCTTAAATTTAAGATGAAGCATAATTGTGGAAAATTCTTCAAATCAGTCTTCATTTGGAAGCTGATAATCCAGAGTTCTTTCAAGGAACCAGCTTCCAATCGAAGACTGAATTGAAAAATTCTCTACAAAGCTGTGCAGTCTTAAATTTTAAGGCAAATTAGGTTTATAAGCTAAGGCGAGGGAAAATTTCAAACACCTGATGCAATCCTTTATCAGAACAGAAAACAAGGCCCTTGCCATAACACACACCTCATAAAGCTTTAACTCTAACCTTTCTACTTTACATATGGGCCTACTGATGCCATTTATCAGGAGACAATTAATCCTTCTATCATCCAACCTGGAGCAGTTCTTGAAAGTAAAGGTTAGTTTCCATTAACAGCTGTTAAGGCTGACAATAGTTCTTCCTGTGTGTATTGTGCCTGGTGCACATAATTGCCTTTAATCTAACCCTTGTGTGACACATTGCAATGTAGCTTCAAATTTATATACATTTGTTGGAAATTTACAACTGATTTGCAATCATGGATCACTGTAAATAGTGCAGTTATTCACAACTACCTTAGTCTGCAACAGCACCTCACATCTTAGGATGAGTAATCAATGGCCATCAATCAGTGCCTTCACATCACATCAGCAAAACTGCTAATGCAAGTCTGTTGGAATGTGTTTGTCCCTGGTGGCTCCATCCATTTCAAAGTCATAACCTTAACATTTGGCCAAAATGGGTTAGGACCAAGATAAGGAAAAATATCTTCACTAACTGTAAGATATTGGCATACACTACCCCAGAAAGCTATAGATGAGAAATCAGTTCAGGGATTTAAAATGGAGATGAATAGACATCTGGGGAATAACAATATTAAGGAGGATGGTTGAAAAGGTGATAAAATGGGATTGGATGAGGTGATAGCCATGAGCCTCAGAGTGGTCTATAGCAGAGTGAGGTCGCTGGGTCAAATTGCTCCCGTTTCTAATTTCCTGAATTTTCATTGTTTTTTGTCCTTTCTGAACTCTTACCTTCTTGCGACCCTTTCTCAAAGATTTTCATGTGCAGCACTGTTGCAATATTTTTCCTCACAACAGAAGGATCGGATCCATCCTTATTGCAGGTGCCAATCCATTCAGATGATTGGTCCGCCCACCACAACTTGTTTCCTTTAAAAAAAATCAGGTGTTCCTGTCAGTGTGCCATTTCACCCATTTATCCAACTCCCATTTTTTTATTTAAATATGTTATTTAATTTATTTAAAGCGTTTTGGGAAGTCCTCCCAACGTGAATGGCGCTCAACAAATAATAAATAATCCTTGCATTTGATATAGCGCTTTTCACGTCGGGAGGACGTCCCAAAGCGCTTCACAGAATAGACTGTAAAAGTAAATTGACTGTATATTTGTGGGCAAACGCGGCAGCCAATTGCACACAGCAATGTCCCACAAACAGTTGTAGATTGAAAATGACCAATTTATTATTGTTTTGTTTTGGAGGGATTATTATTAGGCTCTGTGTGGAGTAAGGAAACTTGCCCAAGGTTTCGCCCTGCCTGGAATTGAACTCAGGTCTCTCGCTTGCAAAGCGAGTGTTCTAACCACTGAGCTACAGGACTCCAAATGTAATTTTGTTGTTGTTCTTCAAACCAAAGATATTTCACATTACCTGTACACTTAAATTCCCAAATTCTGTACTCTAATTATACAATGCAAGATGAAAGCAGAAATATCATACATTTTGATTTGTGCGTCAAATGGCATAATTGCAATAGCACTACTTTACAGATAGGATAGTACACTGCTAAATCAATAGGAGAGTGACACATAGTTTAATGTTCACTCTGAAAAGATTTGAGTACGTTAACCTGCAATTTTTGCATAACAGATCATATCAATACAGCACAATTATAGTATTATAGTGCAGAACACCACTGATAAATTGTAATGTTTCACAGCATATTGGATGTGCACATTGAATCAGTTACAAAACATTTAATTTTTTATAGAATAGGTCAAGGCAATCCTGTAACCTAATGGAATCCTGTAGCTTAGTGGTCAGAGCACTTGCCTCGCAATCCATTGGACTGGGGTTCGTTTCCCAGGACTGGGGTTCAATTCCCAGGCAGGGCGAAACTTTGGGTAAATTCCCTTACTCCACGCGCCTGTTTACCTAGCAGTAAGTAGTAACCCAGTTGTTAGTCAATTGGCGGATTGCTTCTCCGGGAATAATAACCTCTTAAAAAAAATAGTCATTTGGTCACTCAATTCATGCCTGTTTGCAGGACACTGCTACTGCGTTTCACCCACAAAATATAGTCAATTCACTTTACAATGTGTTCTGTGAAGTGCTTTGAAATGTCCCAATGACGTGATAAGGCGCTATATCAAATGCAATAATTATTAAATGCAAGGATTAAGGTGTGCAGGCCCCCATCAAAATAAAAAAAAGTAGGACAAGAGAAATATGACAGTGGTTAGGTAACACCACAGTTACATCACATTACATTGGGCACAATGCTGGAAGCGATCAAGTTTTGCTCTGAATAAATTGATTTTGAATTGGAATGTGTTGGTTTATATTTCCTGCTTGCAATCATTCTCATCTGGGACTAAGAAAAATCTCTCTGCGTGCAAATCAATGTGCTGCTGGGACCACCTTCTCATCAGCGTAATTCAGTTTTAAATTGCACTGCTACAAAGCACATTTATGCCATTTGCTTTCAGGGCAAAAAGTGCAGGAACATTTGGACATCTCAATCATGTGAAGAGCCAAGTGAGGAATATCAGTTCTGGGAATAAGGCATGCAATTCCTTTTTGCACAGAATTGCATTAACTTCAGTGATGTGCATCTTATATAAATTTAGCAAAAAGAGAGATTTCAACCCATTCCCAAGTAAATACAAATTGAGTGACCAAATTATTTTTATTTCTTTTGAAAGAATTATTACCCCCAGGATACACGATCCACCAATCGACTAACAACCAGGTTCCTATTTACTGCTAGGCAAACAGAGTGGTGTGGAGTAAGAAAACTTGTCCAACATTTCACCCTGCTGGGAATCGAACCCAGGTCCTCTTGCTTGCAAGGCGAATGCTCTAAACATGAAGTAAAAAAGACAAAAATGAATTGCTCACTGCTTATATAATTCACACCTTCATGCCTAACTCAACCGCAAATCTAAACTTCCTAAAATTGGGATATTCATCACACATTAGGCTAATTATATTAATGAGTTCCATGAGAAAGACATTACATATATTTCATTTGTGAAATACATGCAATAGTTTTTTCTACTATATCATAATAACAGGGTTTAAATATATTAATATTGCAAAGCAATTTTTTTCCCTCAGGTGCAGTTTCCATTAGCCTACAAAAGTAGGGAAGTAATGTGACATTCATATTAAACCTTGGTCAGACCATATTTGGAGTACTTGTGCAGTTTTGGTCAGCATACCATAGGAAACATATGAGGGCATTTGAAAGTGTATTATTGGTATGTTACAATGGTGGAATCAGAAAAATCCACTTGACCTTCAATCTAGCTCATTATACATTGGAATCCATCTATTTGATCACTGAAGGAAAGGTTAAGCATGACCTTTTCTGATCTCCTAAAGATACTCAAGTAAAATGCCAGGTTAGTGTACATCTACGCTATTCAAATCTCCACTTGTTTTTCATGAATCATAATGTCCCACTCACTCTCTTGGATTGTCTAGGATGGGTACTAGAATTACCCATCCATGCTGCAAAATAAAGGAATCATTCCAGATTAGGTATGGGGAAGGAGGAGAGATTCAGGGGGGAGTGATTCAAACTGTAATTGGTTTAAAAGTCATCAGGATTTGTTACAATTTTAGTCAGTCACTAACATCAGTAGCTGCCAGAAAGATGGAATTTGACCAACTATCTCATGTACAGTTCACATCTCCGCACAATTCTTGGTAACCTTCAAGCCCAGTGAGGTGAAACATGTTACTCCAATGGAATGATTACAGGTGCTGATTTTACAGTGCTGAGCAGTGTAACAATAATACAGTACATCGGGACCTAGTCACCACCTTCTTTTACATGTACACAGGCACTGAAGTTTATTTTCGATCAGACTAAAATAATCAGTCATGTACTCAAAATGTTCAATTTTAGATCTCTTGAGCTTCTTTACGCTTCCCTTCACTTCTCGTCTACAACGTAGTTTTGGGCTGTCATGAGTGTTTTAAGAGCACACTTACTGTTAAATGAAGATGGACATTGGGAAACACAGATTGTACTGTATCACTAAACTGCTCTACCATTAAGTACCCTTTGTGTAAAATTATGAGCAGGAAACCAAGTTTTGATGGTCCATTAGTTTCCATTTATGGTTTTATTATATTAATACTTGGAGAAGATTGCTGTGTCATTACTACTGGGCAAATTGCCCACCCTTATTTCTGCTCTAATGTTAAGTATATACAGTATTCCATAAATGTCATTCAGTAATCTGATATAGTTTCTGTTTTAAAGAAAAAATACAGTTTATTTTAAAAACTTTTTTCTTTTTAGTTTTTTTAAACTAAAATAATTTTGGGAACGTACATTGTATAATATAATAATTTAATAAATTAACTATAATTTGATCTACTAACAGTACTGAATTGTGTGTATTATTTGTAATGTATAAATCATCAATTCTCGCTTAATGCAGACAAACCAGTTTAAGACTGAAACTACCCAATCAATATTTTATAAAAGACTTAATAGAAATTGCTAGATGCTTAGTTAGCAAGTAAATTATTCATAATGATTAACTGATAGGTTGAAAACTGATGTACAAAGTTCCATATGAAATCCATCAGCGGGGAAGCAGAATAGCTACAAAGGGTGAGGGAAATCTCTGAGACAGAAAACATTATCAATTGCTCTTTCATAGCAAAACAATGTATCAGTTTAACTAAATATTTAATGATTTATTTTAATTTTGATATTAAGATATTGATCAATATGTTTGTAGGAAAAGCAAAATGTCAAAACCGTTCTTGTAAGCTTTAGCCTGAGCTGTCAATAAGATTAACAATAACTGTAACTGCGAATTTTAGTTGTGTGAATTTGCTTAAGTAAGGTTTTTCTTTATGTTTTGCTACCACAATACAGAAAGAATATGTGCTGTTTGCATGACAAGATATTATTTATTGCTTTGTCTAGATTGCATATGTTGAAGTACTACTGATACATGCGGAAGAAATAGTGATATATATCTATTTTGGGCATCATTGGGCAACTTGTTCAATGCATTCAAATGTCATATTATCATCAATGATAACAATTGGCTATTAGTTTAAGAATGCATAGTTACAAACACATGCGCACACTCCTAAATGATGCTGAGAATTGCAAGTAGTATCAGTCCATGTAAACAAATGCATTAGAAACAGATAAACCCATTAGCTACATACACAAAGGTACAGCTGATGGAGCATAAACACATTGGAAAATGCTGCAATATAATTTTATAATGCTGTCAGTGCACATTGGTAAGGCACAGACCAGTCTGACAGATTGGAAATAGGAGCAGGGAATAATGCAGATTTCATGCTTCTCTGCAGATAATGGATTAAATTGAACTAAAAATATCTCTTTCAAAGAAACTCTAATCACACTAAAAACTGGAAGTGAAGAGACATTTTGATAGCTAAACCTCAAAAACATTTAAATGTCTCGCATGTTAAAAATCCAAGATGGCAGCAGTACAATGACTGATTTCAACACTGAGACACTAGTCCTGATGAAGGGCTCTAAATAAATGCAAGTTGTTGACCAAAAGGAAATGTTTTCCAGAAGTCAGAAGAGTGTTCAGCTCCAACCATTATTTAAATAGTGGACAAAATGCACCACAAATTATCACCGGTGATAATTACCACATCCCCAAATTTCTCCTACGATTCGACATCTAGTAAAAACTGCTACAAATATCTGCGGTAGAAAATGCATTAAATAAAATAACCACACAATAGATAAAGGCAGCTAGGATAACAACCAGAAACATGGAACATATTTTCCATTATTCAAAGTAACATACATGAAATTACTACACTTTCAAAACCCAACCTTCCCTCCCCACCTTCAAAGCCTGCCTTAAGACATTTCAACTGCACTTTTTGTCACTTTTCTCCCCCAATCCC